ATGTCACGATATTACACGTGGAATCAATCAACGAAGCGATTCCAACGCCGGAAACAAGGAAATCTCGTTCCAGGCTACTGATGCATTGGGAAGGATTTACCCAGTTCATCCCACAAACGACAAATGTTTCTATTTGCGTTTACTGTTGATCAATGTTCGTGAACCCACATCTTTCGAAAATGTACGGACTGTGGATGGTGAGTATACTTTTTTTTTTGCACCGTGCCCATTTTTCTCAAATCAAATGATTTTGATAGGTGTATTGTGTACAACATATCGCGAAGGCCTGTCAGCGTTTGCAATTGCTTGAGAACGATAGTCACTGGGATTACAATCTCGGTTATGCAGTTTAGTTTTTTCGGCTCATCCACATCAGATTCGCACATTGTTTTCTATAATCATTGCAACATGATTTCCATCGAGACCAAATGATTTGTGGATCAAATACAAAAACGAAATGTCTGATGACATTTTACATCGAATGCGTGTCAGGACATCGAACCTTGACTTGCTAATGAACGACACGATTCAAAACGAGGCTTTGATTTTCATAGATAACATGTGCTTGATGATGTCTAATAACTCTTTGACTCAATAAGGCATGACATCGCCCGATCGTCCAATGCACGATGCATTCAATCAAGAGCTGGAGCGAGAACAGCATTACGATCGTGAAGCTTTGAGTAATACATTTCAAGTGAACATCTTGTTACTAAATCAACAGCAAAAATGTGCATACGATAGTCTCATGAAATCCGTTAACGATGAAACTGGAGGCAATTATTTCTTAGATGCACCCGCAGGAACTGGAAAAACATTCTTGATTTCGTTGATTTTGGCATCGAGTCTTGTGAACGAATCCGAAAACGAGTGCCAAATCGCACTGGCACTTGCATCATCCGGCATTGCAGAGACTTTATTGGAGGGAGGTCGAGCAGCTCACTCCGCTCTCAAGTTGCCGTTGAATATGCAAATCAATGAAAATCCAACCAGCAACATCTCCAAAAACTGTGCTATGGCAAAGGTTTTGCAGAATTGTAAATTGATCGTATGGGACGAATGTACAATGGCACACAAAAAATCACTAGAGGCCTTAGATAGAACCATGCTGGATTTGCGCAACAATCCACTCCCATTTGGTGGTGGATTAATTATGCTGGCCGGCGATTTTCGGCAAACTTTGCCGGTCATTCCAAGATCAACCACGACAGATGAAATCAATGCATGCTTGAAACAATCGAATTCGTGGAGACATGTTAAAACAATGAAATTATCAACAAACATGCGAGTAGCATTGCTGAACGACCATTCGGCTGAAATATTTTCAAAGCAATTGCTGGATATTGGTACCGGAAACACACCTTTTGACATTTCCACCGGCCTTATTTCATTTCCAACAAATTTTTGTCGATTGACTACGTCGAAGGCTGAACTCATACAAAAGGTGTTTCCAAATATTGTACAAAACTACAATAATCACGATTAATTAAGCGAACACTCGATTTTGGCCGCACAAAATAAAGATGTCGACGATATGAATTCAACAATTCAAAACGAAATTTCTGGCCAGTTACACTCATACAAATCTATAGATTCCGTTACAAACGAAGAAAATTTCGTGTACTACCCCACTGAATTTTTGAATTCATTGGAATTACCCGGATTGCCACCTCACGTGCTGCAGCTGAAAATTGGATCGGTAATTATAATCACCTCTAAATTTTTCATTTAATTGTACAACTAACAAAACATATACATTTTTTGTTAATGAAGGTTATAATAATGCTGTGGAATATCAATCAACCTCGACTTCGCAATGGTACCAGGTTGGTTGTAAAGAAACTGATGAACAGCGTCATTGAAGCGACAATTCTTAAAGGGAAGTATAAGGGTGAGGACGTTTTAATTCCGCGCATTCCAATGATACCAACCGATTTGCCTTTTGAATTCAAACGTGTGCAGTTTCCGGTTCGCCTTGCCTTTGAAATTACTGTAAACAAAGCGCAAGGAGATTCATTGGATATTTGCGGATTGGATATTTGCGGATTGAATCTGGATTTTCCATGTTTCTCGCATGGTCAGTTATATGTTGCATGTTCACGAGTGGGCAAAAGCTCTGCATTGTTTGTATTTGCTCCAGACGGCAAACAAAACAAAAAATGTCGTTTATTCTAGAGCACTTCAATGATTAATCTGTATAATTTTCGAAAACAATAATACTCATTGTTTCTTTAAGTAATTAAACGTAGGAGTTAGTATAGATCCGTTCAGTATTATTCATTTTTCAAATATTACATCCCGGTAAGTATGTAACAGCAAAGCATACCCAAGTAACGAAAAATTCCGCATTCAACGATTAAAATCACTTCCAAGTTCCGTAAAGTTCAAATAAAGTTCCAACCAAACCTTCAAGTTCTATAAAGTTCAAATAAAGTTCCGACAAAACTTTCAAGTTCCATAAAGTTCAAATAAAGTTCCGACAGAACTTTCAAGTTCCATAAAGTTTGAATAAAGTCCCGACAGAACTTTCAAGCCACACGAAGGAATCCGCACAAGTAATTTCCTGTATTCGAACCCGTGTATTCGGCATGCGATCTTCGAACGCTAACCACTGCGCCATAAATGTGTTTGAATACCATGCGGGTAAACATCAATTTAAAATTTATCAAGGTGTTGTATTTCGTATTCAAGTCAGTCAGCTGGCACTGAAAGCTCCAACAGTAGGCGGGACAACAGCTCACTTTTTTATATCTCAGATGACGCAGCGTTTCGTGCTGGGGCTCTCACGCAGAAGGACTGGGTTTAATTCTGCAAACAGCTCCAATTCTACTACTTATGCTGATAAATCAATACACATTGATACCTTCCTTTATAAATAACTTTCATAACGTACGAACTAAATCTCGACTACTATTTCGAAGGGGCGTATCAGCTGTTGTAAACACTGCATTTAATAGTCGTTTTGGCGTAACTGGTCTCCCACGCATACTAACACTACTATCATGTAGGGGTAAATTTCCCCTATCTGATGGTATTGTTAGCATGCGTGGGTGAGCTACCAGTTACGTCAAATCGACGATCAAATGCATTGTTTACAAAAGCTGATACGTCCCTTCGAAAAAGTAGTCGAGAAATAAAGAATTGGTGTTTTATAATTTATTTTCTAAAAGTTCCGTTCAAGTTCCGCCAGAAGCTGCTTAGAATGCTCTTCAATTATGATACCGGAACTTTCAAGGTCCTATAACGACTTAACAATGAGGCTGCTTAGAATTCTATAGACCACCACCAACCAAGCTACTTAAGCCACAAATAGCCTTTTATCAGAACTTTTGGTTACTTGGGTAGAAACGAGTTTATTGCTGCACAAGTCAAGAGTCGAAATTGATGGATCCAGCTATTGTAGTAAGGAAGTTACAATGGTTCAAAATAATTTTCCCAAATCTATCAAAAACAACATTAAAGTTTCCCAAAACATTTTATTCCGAATAATCCGGAAATCATCACTCAGAGTAATCAATTGCCATGAATGCCAATGCTCTGAATTTGTAATTTTTTGCATCATTTATAGCATGAGCTGCTCTTCCATATAAATACTCTCACATCAAACTTAGCAAGGTATAACTCACGATCAAAGAAGGAAATAAATATTGAATGCTTCCATTTATTTAACGTCGGTCTCTGTTCCGCAATCTAGTGCCAATCACCGACGGACATCGATTGCCATCCATTGACGGCAACCGAATGTGCAGGAAGGCAGCTTCCACACCTGCGTAGGATATCGCACCCATTCACAACACACATGGGCCGGGACCAACGGCTTTACTTCCCTTCCGAAGGAAGACGTGACCAGAGATTTATATGCCTCAGAAAAATCCCACCGACCTCGGCTGGGGATTGAACCCAGACCCATTGGGGTGTTAGAAAGCAGTCACGCTTACCACTACACCACCGGCGCCGGCATAAATATTGAATGGATCATTATTCCTTCTTGTAATCATGAGCAGTTCTTTCATATTTGTACTTGTATTTGTATTTGTATTTGAATAATAAAACATCAAAGAAAAAAAAAACAACATTAAAGAAAAAAAAAACAACATTAAAAGGTTTTCAAAATAATGTTATTTTGAAAAATGTTAAAAGATCAGGAAACCATAAGAAACTACTTCTTAAAGGTTAAAAAGGAAATAAACTTTAAAACAAAATCAGAAACAATTTTGAAAAAAAATGTCAATTAGTTATTTGAACCATTTATCATCATTCAAGGCAGTACGAAGCTTGCCGGGTCAGCTAGTAATAAAATAAATTTCAAATTGTTACTTCGGTTGTTAGAACGTGATCAATGACATTGTCGATTGTATTGAAAAATTTCGTGGATTTTTTCCATTTAAAAATGTTACCGATAATAAGTAATACTTCAACTTCTTAGCTCAGCAATGATTTAAAGATGTTCGGCTCCGTAATGTTTTTTTCAACAGTGGTGTCTTACCATTATTAAAAAAAAAGAAAACTTTGGTAGAAATAATCTTGAAAAGTTCAGAAAGTTGCAAGAAAATCAAATTTTTATGTGGATCCTATTCAATTTTATGGGTGAATTTTTCCAGTTATATTTGAAAAACTATTGGCAATCCTGTATGTTAGCTCGGTATGCAATATCGCGGCAGCTTTGTCCAGCTTTGCCCAGCTTTGCGCAGCTTTGTGAGAATTTCCTAATTGGTCTGGTATTTAATCTCAACTCAAGAATCGTACAATGACTAGAGCACAACCTGGTACATCTCAAGATTAACATTACACTGCATGACTGCATATACCAAATAATTATATTTCACACCTGCCAAATATTGGAGATATGGTGAAGAGTACGTCTTTTCGTCACTTTCTCGTAAATTATTCCATAATCTCCAATTAATCCCATCAACACGTCTGCACTAAATCCACTACCATTTAAGAACCCGCATGCACGTCGTAAAGCCAATCGCGGGCATACCGCCCACTGCACTCACCTCCACCTCGACGCCGCTGACCGTGTTGAACACCTTTATCGGCTGTGGCTCCTGGGGTGTGTACCGGTAGAACTCCCGTTTACCCTTGTACCACTTGATTGTGTAGAGCCGTTCCTTGTCCTCCATCTCGTAGGTGCAGTAAAGATGTGCTGCCTCACCTTTCCTGATCGCCGTCGGCACCGTGACACGGACATTACGTAACCCGAGTGATGATTCTGCAAGAAACAAGGAAAGATGGCTAAGGTTAGATCTCAGGAGCATAACAACGACGGCAGTGCAACCGTGCTTGAGTGGGTTGCGGGTGACTGAAGGGGAGGAGGAAAGTTGTTGATTGTGTATCTTGCCGTATCCATTACATGTCATGTTCGGTTATGGTTCAGTAAACAAGCAGGTACAAGCGAATCAATATCGCCTCTGGCTGTTTGTGGACTAATGTGTGTACAGATCAATGAGAATAAGCTAGATTTAATTACGAACGCTGTTGTAAGTCGTAGCCATCACATTCTCATGTAACTGGACATTTTCTTTGTTACGGAGCGTCGGGGTCATTTATTCAACTCTATATTTAAAATAATCTTTGCAATTTGTTGTCGTTGCCTCACAAATCTAGCCAGTCAAAAATCTGAACTGTAAACTTGCATTTCTTTTCACACCAAACTAGGAGCTTGAATGCAAAGAAGGATGGTTGCATACAATATTTGGAATATTTAATGAAATATCTTATAACTTTAAACGATGTAGTGACACATGATTGTCCTGTTTATGAGCATCACATTGAACAAAAAAAAATCACTAATTTTTCGAACTGTCCCCTTTGATGAATTACTTTCTAACATTACTCTTCAATTAGTAAACTTCCTCTTTGTGCGAATGACACTGTCTCACTTCCATCGCGCATCATTTCCGATCCAAGCAAGCAGTGAGTACCCTGTCGAAACCGAACGCCTAATCCAATTTTCCCATCCTTTGACACATTCAAACACACACACACACACACATTCGCATGAACCAACATCCGGAGCTCTTGTGCAACAGAGGAACAGAGATGTGCATAATCCCTTAATTAAATTTGCATTTAATCCTTCCAACTAACTAAAGGCAGTCGGTGGCAGCAACTGTTGCACTCACAAGAAACGAATCCCGGCTTTTGCTGTCTTAAGAAGCGGTCGGTCGGTGGTGCACTTCGGCTTATGTTCCACGTCTCCTTCAAGAAGGCTTGATGCTCTTGAAAGATTTTCCTCCCTCCGACACCGCACTGAGCTAAAGAGCTTTTTTTTCTGCGCTCACATCCATTTGAAGGTTTTCTTATGCGGCGTCTTACTTTCCTGTTCTGTTGCACTGCATGTTGTAAAAAGATGACTAACATGCAACTGCAATTTGCACGGCTCGTGCTTTCCGGGAACGTGAGGAGCGAAAGAGAATGAGAGATGGACGAGTTGTGCAACCGAGGATGCCTTTCTTTCGATGCTCTGAGGAGTAATGGTTGGGGTCACACACACACAAAATGATGGGGCTGGTGGACCGGGTTTTGCCTTTGCATCAGTATTTAAGCAAAAAAAAGAGTTAATCGGCTCTTTTTTTGATTGATTGAACGCACAAAAACAGAATTGAGTGTACTCAAACTATGGCATTAGCGCAGTTCCACGCAAACTGACGAATCGATTTTATTTTTCTCTCGCAGAATTTTATGAAACTTCACCTAATTGTTCGCTAGGGGCCATGAACCAATTTTGTGTCGGAATTCAGCCATTTTGATTCTCACCTAATTTTTCAAAATGGCGTTTTCGATATTTTCCAACAAATCATAGCATGAAAACTGCTCATCCAAACGGAACAACGTCTGAAACAACATTATAGGTAATTAACCATTTGGCAACATTCAAAGTGTTTTTATATTACTTCATGCGCGAAGTTTGCGATTTTCAGAGTTGGTTTGAAATGCTATCTAACATAAAGCTTTAGTGTGGTAATTTATTACCTAGAGAATGACCTTAGAAGAGGGTAGGTGGATAGTTCCGTTAGAGTACGGCAGTATGAAAATTGAATAGAAGTTGAAAATGAGCGAAGGGCCCATGCATTATTTATGTCACGCTAAATCGAGCAAAAAATTACCCCTCCCCCCTATCGTGACGTTTTTCCTATACCTAATGCATTGCTTGTCACAAAATCTTAGACCCCCCTCTCCCCTTAGAGTGTGACATAATATATGCACTAGCCCGAAGGGCTTTTCCCTGTAGATTTGAAGACATACATCTCCGCTTACATCGTACGGGTTAGGCAAAAGGAGTGTGTTTGACTTTGTACTGTCGCATTAATGGCCCTTCGCTCATTTTCAACTTCTATTCAATTTTCATACTGCCATACTCTTACTGAACTATCCACCTGCCCTCTTCTAAGAAATTTTCTCTAGGTAATAAATTATCACACTAAAGCTTTATGTTAGATAGCATTTCCAACCAACTCTTCATGTTGCCAAGCTTTTGCATTCATTTTCCGTCAGATGTCATTGTTGTTATTTGCGGTGACAGCGATCGGAAACTACGCATAATCTGTTTTCCTTTAATTGATCACAGAGGACAGTGCAGTGCAAAACATACCTGGTGGCCAACTCTGCACATCTTCATCTATGCCAAACGCTATGCCAGGCTATGCCGAACGTGTCGAAGTAGGCCGAAGTGTGCCAATCAAGGTGTCAATATCCCATGAGTTTGGCATCCCTAAAGTTAAAATGACATTTGTGATTATGTTTAAATTCTTATTTTCGCAGCAGGAGGTGAAAGAGAAACTGGAAGCTATCAAACCTATACGGTGTTTTGAAGCAAAAACGACTATTCCACAAGATTCTGACTCGATGTCAGTTTGAATGACTTATTTCTTGAACGTGTGCAGGAACGAAATGGTAACGCCACCAGCATCCATTAAACTCCCCTACTACTAAAGTAAACAAATAACTCGAACAGACGGAAAGATGAACAACGTTCATGTCATCGACGCGTTGAGTATCGAGTGCATCCCTGCAAGAAGATCACTCGTAATCTTGAAGGAGCCGCATTATTGTCTATTTTACACAATTTATCATATCATCCTGTCATTTTCCACAGAGATGGTGCTGTTCAGCTGGTAGGAAGTGATAAAAATCTCCATATAAAAATTGAGAGAAGTGGGAATAATTCGCTTTCGGTGCATATTCAATTAAAAAAAGTAAACAACCTAAATAAATTAGTCAGGAACTTTGTCATTCAGTTTTTTTTTCTCTGGAAATTATTGTTCAACAAGCTATAATTAAATAAAAATGATATTTCCCCACACATTTTTACCTGCTTTACTACCAGTCCACAGAGAGCCAAAAAATTCAAATTTGAGAGAGAAAATATGCGATATGTGATTTCCCTTTCACAGATTACAAAATAGAGTACCTGACACTACAAAACATATCTGGTACCTCTATATATGCATTATGATTAACATTCGAAGTCCCTCCTTTTTTACATATTCTGCAGAAAAGATACTTTCTGCCCCAGTCCATTCATTAAAATCGGGGGGAAATTCTGTGAGGGGTGAGCTATTTTGTATGCTGAATGTGTGAAAAAGGAGGGACTTTGATTATTAATCTAAATGCCTGTATTTGTATTTCTGTGTTTTGACTGCTATATTGCACTGAATTTTCAGACAGAACTCAGAAATATAACTCAATTATGGCACTAAAATAGCTTCCACATGACCATCGAAATAAATCGCGCACTTTTGTCCACATACTGTTAACAACGCTTAAATTTGTCGTCCACATCGAACTTGCTCTTGCCGGTGAAAAACTCCAACCTCGGAATTTGCTTAAAATCGGCTTTTATATACGTTTCGTCGTCCATCACACAGCAGCCATATTTTGTCAGCATCTTCTCGTAGAGCTTCCGTGCCCGAGTTTTAGCCGTCGATTGTTGCCGCTCATCGCGGTTTGGGAAGTTCTGTACCTTGTATGTATGTAGTCCAGCTCTCTTCTTTGCATTCTGGACGTAGCTCTGCGACATGCCGATCTTTTAAGCCAAATCACGGCTTGAGACGTTGGGATTTGCTTTAATCATCCGCTTCACCTTTCCCTCCGTCTTTTTGTTCTCCGGGCCCGGTTTTCTTCCAGCTCCTTTGCCGTGGTCCAACGTCAACCGCTCCTGGAACCGCTTCAACACTCTGGAGACGGTTGAATGGTGAATGTTCAACATTTTTCCCAACTGCCGGTGCGACAGGTCAGGAAATTCCAGGTGTTTGGAAAGAATTTGTTCTCTCAACTCGCGTTGGTTCACCTACATTTTCGTTCAATCGAAAAACACGACTTCGAGTTTGACAGCATGTACACAATACACATCAATGAGAAAGTGTGCAAAATTTGATTGATTTTTACCCAATGGTAAAAAAGTTATACCCTGTTGAATGTGTCGCAATAATTTCGTGTTCACCCTTTACTACCGATATGGTCAAAACAGTACACTGGAGTCGCTTTTTGCGCGGTTTTTTTTACACGGTTTTTACGCGTTTTTTTACACGATTTTTTCACACGGTTTTTTACGCGGTTTTTTACGTGGATTTCAGAATTTACGCGTTTTTTTACGCGGATTTCGGAATTTACGTGGTTTATCGTTATATACTGGAGTCGCTTTTTACGCGGTTTCTTTACGTGGATTTCGGAATTTACGCGGTATTTATGCGGATTCCGGAATCTACGCGGTTTTTTTTACGCGGAACGTAACACCCACGTGAAAAGCAACTCCAGTGTATTCGTTTTACCGTAACGCTGAAGCAGACTACAGTCGCTCAAATTAAAAGTCACTCAAAGTAAACACAAAAATACAGGTTTCCAAAGCTTGTAGACAAAATATCGTAGTTGGCCGTGCAACCAGATTTAATTTTAATCTCTGCGTGCGTCTTCTATAAAACATCGTCTCTGATTGAAACCAAGCGTTAGAAAGTTTTCCAAGGTGGGAGCAGTACGAGCGAAAGTCGAAAGTGAAATATGAGATTCACGAAATTAAAACCGCTCGAGCCTAAATGGATACAAAATTCGCAATGTCTACTTGTATGATTTATTGTTTAAGTTTTAAACACTTTAGAGTTGGATGCAAATACAAACTAACCAACGATTAATTTCTTGAAACATATTATTGAGAAGGATATGATTGATGTGTCTGAATCGAGGGCCCCCTCCAAATTAGACCCTGAGCCCTGA